TCATTGTGATCAGAAACTATTTCATTTGATCATCAATCATTCCAATAAAAGCATATTTGAATCAACATTAGGTAGTTCTTTCACTGAACGGGACTTCAACTTACTTGGTGGTTCAAGGAAAATGTTATTAATAATACAGTTAGATAATAAGATTATTATTTATTATTAATTAATTATTAATTTATGCATATATTTTGGTGACTAGAATTTTTCACTGGCGACCAAACCTGAACAGTCAGTGGCCAAATGGCCACTAAGGAAAAAAGTTAACTTGGAGGGTTGAGAACCCCTGATAACATGGAGACAAGTGCTTCAAACTATTATTTCTTTGTGGTTTCGCTTGGGGAACAATTCCTTTCACTTCTTCTACATCATTTTGTGCAGAAGGTGTGACTATAGATGAGTGATACAAAGTTCTCATGACAGAGAAAACTGTTCTCACTATGGACTCTGCTAGATTCCTTAGGCTTCCTTGGGGAATAAAATTCTTAGCACCATTAATTTAAAGTTTCCTGTAGAAATTTATTTTCATTGTATTGTTGTAAAGTTCAGGAGATCTAGAGTTTCACTTACAGAAAATATTTTAATATGGGGGTGGTGGTATATTGTTATGTATGTTGCTTTAATATGTTTTATTGTTCCTTGATTGGAATGAAATTGGGCAATTTAAATTTCTACCGCATGTGTATGTATTAATGGCAAATATATAGTATGATTGTGAATAATGAGAGTTGCAAGATCTCTGCTGGAGAAGGAATTGCTAGATAACGGTTTTGGGGATCTGAAATGTTGGTAAATTTTTTCACTGTAACTGAGGTCATCTTTGATGGACAGTAATAATGTGATTGCTGGATTTGTTTACAAATGCTGCAGCTTTATTTGAACATAGTGATTTCTGGAAAGAAGTAATGTGGCAGGCATGAAGAGCAAACTTTTGATGTTTACTTTGTGCTTTGAAATAACTAGAGGGACTTATTTCATGCTGAAAACTGGTTGAAACTCAGAGTATCATGTAAAAGATCACGTTCACTGTTTTGGTAAACCACTTTCAAATGTTACAGTTCTAATTTCATTCTGGTCTAAGGCCAAGAATAATACATGTAAAGCAGCAGAAATCATATTGAGGCTGAGAGTTCAGTAGTTTATTTTGGTTTATTTGCTCTTAAAATGAAGCATATATTTAGAATTTCAGGTTTTTCTGAAATGACTTCTTAGTTTCTACATTTCTAAATGGTTTATAAATTATTGTTTATAAGTATTTTACCACAATGTCAGTAATTTTTGATTATTTATTATTTTTAATTTTGTGCAATGTTAGGCCAGCACTTGATCCAACACTGTGTCATTATCCAGCGTGATGAAAAAGGCTATGGTCTGACTGTTACAGGGGATAATCCAGTTTATGTACAGTCTGTAAAGGAAGGTGTGTAAGGCTTTTAATTACTATTATATAATATGTCTGATTTTTCTTACATTTTGATTTGTTTTTACTTATGACCAATAGGAGTTCAGATGTTTAGATGACGTCATCAACATTTTATTACATTAGTAAGTAGATTCCAGGTTGCCATGCACCTGTTTAGTAAATCACTGCTGGAAATAATTTTTCTTTTTTAACAGGACATGTGTCCTTTCAAATTTTCATTTTGGTCGGACATCTTATCAATTTGACCGGACACTAATTTGCATAATTGATTAGCATAATTAATTGGCACAATAAAATTTATTGGCATACTGTAAAGATTTTCAATACAAATCGTTCAAAACTGCATTTAAATATGATTAATTTATCATTTATGATGATTATATGACTTAATCCACAAGATAACTGCATGGATCTCTCCTGATTATCTCCTGATTATATTTTCTTCAAGCACCTAGTTTTCTATTGAATGCTACCATTAAAGGGACACAGTCAGCTTTAGGACCATGCTGACTTGGACACTAGTTTTCTCACTTTGAAAAAAGTTCACCTCAACCTGAAGTCAAAGTACGTCCAGAAATCTGCTTCAATCTTTGCAGTGTTTTTCTTGTTTTTCAATCGTTCACTGAAAAACCTGTTTTTAAGTGTGCTTTTGCTCAATCCTATGATATTATTTTTATCATATTTGGTTAAAAACAGTATGGATCGCTTCGTGTGATGTCCAAATTAGCTATGAAATGGTATCTAATGTGCATATGCAGCAGCTGACTGTGTCCCTTTAAAGCAGGAGCCCATCACTAGGAGTGTACAACTACCCCAATTAGTCCTGTCCCTGCATTTTCACAGACCGATCTATTTTTAGTTTGAATTTACCGTGAATTCAGCCCCCCCTCCCAGGAACCTTGGTGACCAATCACAAGCACTGACTTTATAATTTCACCAGAAGATTAGGTCGACATGTCCACCTGAGGCCGCCATTTTTCTCCTTACTAATTCGCGCTCATATAGACTGCAACTGGCCTTTTTTGTGGGAAAAGAAGCCTAAAAATAGACCGTTCCGTAAAAATACCATGACATAGGCTTAGTATGGGAGTTGCAGGCTCCTAGTGATGTGCTCCTGACCAAAGTTGACTCAAGGGTACAAACATGAAGTGCTAACAGCATATCGCAATGCTTGTAGTGCATAATAGTGAGATTTCTGAAGAGTATTTTATTTGGCAAGTACAGGAAAGATGAACACTTCTGCTTTATGATATGGCAGAAGCCTATAATGGGCTCCTGTCACAATTTCGAGCCTTTTAACAATGTATCTAACTGAATTTTATGGATGAGCAATAACTTGGTGTTGGTAAAATGTTCGAACATCATGTCCGATCATAATGTGAAATTGGCCGGACATATTCAAAATTTGGTCTGACAATGTCCGATGACCGACTGTTATTTCCAGCCTTGTAAATGATCACAGAAGATGACAAAATGTTGTAAGAAACATCAGTGACTCACTTGGCTGCTGTCTTATGTGCTACTTTCTTGTTCTTACCTTATTTTGACACCATATGTGATCAATTACTGAACTGACACATGGCAACATGGAATCTATTTGACAGAGTTAAATAATGTGTTGTGCCATGTAATGTTGTAAAGTGATTAGTGTTCAGTCACCCCTGACCATCCATGCCAGTGGGTACTGGTCAACTGCAGTGTATAACATGTGATTGACTGGTATCCCTTTAATGAACGTCTTTAATGCTTCAAGTCCCATGATAATAACAAAGTAGCAAGGTGAAATAAGCAGCAGTTTGCTGAGTAATTTAGGCATTAACTGTCAATACTCCATGAAAGTTTTTTCATTACTTGTGATGCATAATATATGTTAGAGATAGAACATCAGAAGTCAGGAACAATAACTCTGATTACTGGGCCGGTTTGTTTTCAGGTGGAGCAGCTTATCGCACAGGTGTGCAAGTTGGTGATAAGATCATCAAGGTGGGAATAAATATTTTATTGTGGTCTATATATAGTGTTTTTGACTGGGCTAGCAAGGAGGGTTTAGAGATACAGTTACAGTACTGCTTACCTCCTGTTGTATGTGTCTCACTTAAAGTAATACTGTGGGAGTTATGGATCACTTGAGGCAATTTTAGGGTTAACCATACTGCCCTGACCAAATAGACAATACTGAACAAGGCTTCCTATCATGCAACTATACAGGAGTTTGCTAGGTTCTGATAAATGAGATCATTTAACTCCAGTTTCATTGGTCCAGTACCTTTGGAATGAAAATTTTTTTAGGCCATTAGTAGGAGTGAGAGGAGTGAAGGCTTGACTTTACCCACTTCACCATCTGGAAAAGGATTTTGAATCACAGGCTGGAAAAAATACTGGGTTGTCACCATGATGAATAACAGTCTTACAATTATTACGTCTCTCTTTAGGTGAATGGAACTCTGGTGACTAATTACAATCACATTGAAGTTGTCAACCTCATAAAATGTAAGTGCAGTTCACTTAGAGCATGCAGCTTCAATCTTTATCTTATCTCTCATCGTGCCCTGCAGGACACCTAAGGCCATAACTCATTCTTTTGTGCTATACATTTATTAGTATCACCCAACCAGTGGACAAATGCAACTCCTGCATTTTGATTGGCTGCGCTACTAGAGGACTATTAGTAATAGTCCTCGAGTAGCGAAATTGGCGCAATTGAGCGTGATGCTTTCTTTCGTTTTA